AACGTTTTAGTTGTCCATAATTAGAATGTGAGCCCAGAATTTATTGCAACTAGTTAATAAACTGACAATTTTCTGCTAAATTAGTGAAAGTAACATTAAAACTTAGACAACAGAAGAAAATACAGTTGAGTTTTCCACTGATCAATAATATCTGGAGTATTTTTAAATTATTTCCATTTTTTCCTGAAATTCCTGAGCTTCAGTTATTTTTTAACTTGAGGCATTACCTTTCAAAAAGAATCTTGAGAAATTTCATATCAAAAACAATATTGCAGAGACCTTGAGGGGCCCAGAAATCTAAATCATGTTAAGAAATGTCATTACACTCGCCGGGCGCGGTGGCTCACGCCTGTAATCCCAGCACTTTGGGAGGCCGAGGCGGGCGGATCACAAGGTCAGGAGATCGAGACCACGGTGAAACCCCGTCTCTACTAAAAATACAAAAAATTAGCCGGGCGCGGTTGTGGGCGCCTGTAGTCCCAGCTACTCGGGAGGCTGAGGCAGGAGAATGGCGTGAACCCGGGAGGCGGAGCTTGCAGTGAGCCGAGATCGTGCCACTGCACTCCAGCCTGGGCGACAGAGCGAGACTCCGTCTCAAAAAAAAAAAAAAAAAAAAAAAAAAGAAATGTCATTACACTCAAGATGAAAAGCACAAATAGTAATATCAATAATATTAATGACCTCCAATTTTAAAAACTCTATAAAAGGATAATGTTCACACTTCTCCAGAAGGAACAAAATAAAGGCCCTGAACAATTGCAAGAGAGAGGAAAGGTTATCTTGGTTCTGCACCAGAAGAGGGTATTTAAACAACTAGTTATCCTGTAACATAATGGGAAATTGGAAATTGGACTCTTATGCCACATAGTAACTATGTGTGGAATTCTTCTCAAAGGGTCCTTTGATCCTTTAATCGAACTTTACTATTTTACTCCTTAATGATTCAAGAACACAATTATAGATATTGATGGTAAAACTATGCAGTTAAATTAAAAGATGGATAACAGTAACTTGAAACTAATTTTAAAATGTCTTTCTTGCTTATTAACAGATAATGGCGCTTAGTTTACCATGAATGTCTGCCATAATTTTTCTTCTCTTTTATACCCATCTCCTCCTTTTGATTTTCTTCTCTCAACTTTCTTACTGTCTTTTGTGAGTATTTTAAGGCTCAGGTGAAATAACCATTCTAGGCCCTGCTCCTTAAAGAATATCTTTTTTTGTTGTGTGAAGCAGAGTTTATAGTATGTACTTTAAATGTAACACTTTTAGGTTCTTTTCAGCATCAATCATTCTCTTTGAGTAAGATTTTTATTGAGTTCTGTGTTTTGTACAGTGCCGCTATATGTTTGATAGTTTCTTCTTTTGAGCGTTAGATTATCAAGTCATTAGATATTCCTACTTCACACCTCTTGGAACAATAATTAACTAAATAGCGTTAACCACCATCCATGATAGCATGAAATAGGCTTGCATTGTTAATGTTTATCTTAGGAAATGCCAGTGATAAATTTGTAAGTGAACAACTTAGGACATGTTCTAATGTGATACATATATTTAACGTAATTTCTACTCAAGCAGTATAGTAGAAAACACAGCTTCAAGGCAATCAAAGGGAAAACCATGAAGAATAATAATGCTTTTAATTTGAACATATTTTCAGTAATTGAAAGGAGCATCTTAAATAGCTACATAAGTTTACAATCAAGATAAGGATTATTTCACAGCTATAGTGTTGTATGGATGCACACTGAAAAATATGGAAAGATATGCCAATTTCTCTCTCTCTCTCTCCTCTCTCTCTCTCCCCTCTCTCTCTTTCTCTCTCTCTTGATTACCTCAGGGGGGTTGAATCAAGGAGATAGTGGAGGAAACTTTACTTTTGCACTGTAAATATTATACATTTAAAATGTTTGAGTCAACTATATCACTTTCATATTTTTAAAAAGACACTTTTAGAAGGCACTTACAGTCAATATCATATTATTCAATGAAAAGGCAAGAATGCTAATTATGGTACACTTCTGATTCCTAATACCAATGAGTCCACCTTCTTGATCCTATGCTTACATTTATATTTATTTTATTTATAAGTAGACTGCCAATGATAAAAAATTGATATTTCCCTTTTATTAGAAATCAAATCCATGTGAAAATTACAGAAGGTCCTATTTATAATAGCAAAAGAAAATTTTTTCATACTAAAGCATTTATTTCACTTCTCTAATATAGTATAGTCATTCTTTCATTTCCAAAATTACTTGGAAAACTAAACAACAGATGATTGAGTTTAAAGAAATGAAAGTAATATAGAAAATAATCATATAAAATAATACAAATAATTGATATGATCTTCCTTATATAGTACTTAAATATGGTGATGCTTACTGTGAGAATTCAATAAATTTCACCACAGGAAAAAAACTTTATTATATATATCAGCCTTTCTATATAAAGGTATTCTCTTAGAACTCTGCTAAAGAAGCTTATACTATAGCAAGTATAGAATTCAAAGGTCAAATTGATTAGAACTGTCTATATTGCTAAAGTGTGCATATAAATATTTAATTTTATATACAGTATTGAAATAGTTACTGTTTGAATATTTAATGCATTCCCAAGAAAACCCTGAATGTGTAAGAATCTATTAGCCATAATAATTTGACTATAAATACAAATTAATAATAGTTCATATCAAATATTTTGATAATTTCTGACCCATTAAACAATAATATTTAATAACTTTAATTTATGACATAAAATTATGTGCCAAGCTGAATTCAATTGACCATAAAAAAATATAAAACCTGCATGTGAAAAAAAAAGTTTCAATGGCAAGATACACTACGTAAAATCACCGAAATTTTTACTTGCTCATAAACTAATTTGGCATAAATCTTTGTTAATGCTCTCTTAAACAGTGAGAGAACCAATTACTGATGTTGAAGATGCTTTCATGAATTTAGCCTAAGTCAGAATTCTGCAAATAAGAATCATTTTATTTAAAAGTTGTTACCAGCTCAGAGAAAACAATTATAACTATTTCCTATTGTTAATATTGTGTCTAATAGCAGGGAGGTGCTTTGTATTCTTTCTATCAGCAATTCCTCCCACTGCCTTATCTCAAAACCCAGGCCAATAATTCTTTTTTCAGAATTGAAGGACTTGGTCTTAACTTCACAGAATAATGGGGCCCTGTCTTTCAGTTCCCTGATGATAGTTCACGTGTAGCCGAGAGGTCAAGACTTGAAGCCGTTCAAACTGTAGTCTTCTAAATATGGTACTTTGGATTTTGTGGCAATTGGCACAAAATACATATTAGTAATTATAAGTTTATCCAACATCATTTCCTGGATTAATCTATATTTTAAAACTTGTCATATATACTTTAAAACTCATTCTATAGTTTCTATTTTAAAACTTGTTCTATAGTTTTATAGAATATTCAGTTATAATTAATTTCTATTTTCTAATTTTAGATTAAACTAATTTAGATGAATTCAATCCGTTTAAAGAACCTGTTTTTGAGTGAAATTGTGTACTAACACTTTCATAACTGATACTGTCATCAAACTCATGGACCTGGTGGGAATAATGCCTCTAGGCCAACGTAGACTAGAGGAGTTCACTTAACAGTTTGTTCATAAATCTTTACTCCAGTTATAAGAAAGACTTGGTCTGCTTACATCATTCCTTATGTACAATACTTTATCAATGCCATTTTTATGATGTTGTATACTAGGTGATAATAATAGCATTGAGAATTTAATGTGGTACCCATCAAGAATACTTCCAGCTTCCAAGTCAATCTCTAAAAATCAAACCTTTGGATTGGGCCTATGATATTAATACAGATTCATAGATCAAGAATCAATTTATCTGAAATAAGTACTTTATTATTTTTAGCACTTGCACTTGCTTGAACTACTCTAAAAAAGATAAAGTTGTAACTTAATAAGAGAATCGTGTTGTAGTAACTAGCAGCTTCCAATATTCATGTGTCATTTAGCAAATGAGAATGAAAAATTAATTCTTCCATTGATATGCTGCTTTACTCCTTTATAAAACAATATTTGGGAAATTTGACAGAGTTTTGCTACAATTGCTGTATGTATTTTTTGTAAAGATTTATTCGTGTGTGTGTATGTGTAAACATCATGGTTACTCATAAAGCTCTGGGTGGGAAAAACCTATTTGTGTTATGATCAGTTATATGATCATAATGACAATGAATTCATTACTCCATGTGTAAGTCTGCCATGTTTAATTTTCTTCAGTCTTTGTTTCAGAGTTTGCATGTGGTGCTTACTTTAGTAGCCACTTTCTTGACATTATAAATAATACTGTTTAATCTTTTCTACAATGTACTAAAATGTTATATACAAAATAGGTAGTGTTGGTATGGTCATTGGCATTTTGATTTCAAAACCGTATTTGATTTTGTGGTCTTGATCAAAGAACTTCTATCTATATCGTCCTACTACATGTATTTAAATCCAAGAGATAATAAAAAATACATTTGGACTTTATCCTGAACTCATCTTTTTAAAAAATTTTAACTATTAAGTTTTTTGCCAACTATTTGATCTGAGCTTTCAATTATCAGGCATTAGTAATTTCACACTTGTATTATATTGCAAATAGGGTATAGGTTGTCCTCAAATAATGATTGTCAGTGTCCATAAATTTATATTAAAAATTAAAAAAAAGTAAGATGTGGCCAATACTTTCCAAAAGTGATAGTTAACATCAATATATTACCTTATCTAATTTTGGCCACATAACTGTTACTGTAATAAAATAATAAAGTTTATTATTTTACAGGATGGTGTAGATAGAAAGATCAAGTATAGATACATTTAAGGTTACTTGACCTCAATATGTGTTTATACATTTTTATGGCCATCATACTATTAATCTTTTTTTCATAATACTTTGCATGAGTCTGATTATTAAATAAGGCTTAAATACCAGATTTGAATGAACTCTAAATGAACTACCTGGTGGGGTGGTGAATTCCTTTCTAGAGATTAAACCAATCAAGCTCCTCAGAGTGCAGCACAGTTGATAACCCTTTGCCTGGAGAAGGAGAAGAAGCAGAGGCTGAACCTATGAATTCCGATGAGCCAGAAGCCTGTTTCACAGATGGTAAGACAAAAATTGAGACCTTGGTTAGCATTCCTTTATTAGTGTTTTGGAGTTTGTTTTAATGCGTAATACTTACCAGAGTTTGTTGGTAAGTCAGAAGACTCCATTCCATGCTGATTCAGCTATAGCTGTATGATGATTAAGGGCAAGTCACTAGAGTTCTCTAAATTTCAGTTTCCACATCTATGGCACTTGACTAACAATAATTTCCTATCACTGTATGTTAGACTGTAAGCACGCTACTGCTTCTTATTTTGGAGCCTTAATTAATATTTCCAGATCAGTGGAACCACTAGAATACAAGTTAATGAAAGAGTTTATACTTTTGTCCTTTTAATAAAAAATGGAATCTACTCACTAACTCTCAGAAAACTGTTTGATACTGTTGACCACAGTCTCTCTCAAAATTCTTCCTGTCCTTAGTTTCAGAGGCCATAGTCTACCTTTGGTCTTTTATTTGTCTTAGAATTCTGAGTTCCTCTCTCTATTTCTTTAATGAGTGTTGTTTTTCTGCACATCCTGTAAATAATGATTTCTCCCCACATGTTCAAACTTCAGTTATCTTTTCTTATTCTGAAGCTCCAAGGTGTTTCATGCATGCCTGTGGCTTGAAAAGCCATTTCTGTGCTATTGACTCTTAACATCAGTGTCTTTGCCCCTGACCTCACTCTTGAGTCCCAGATCTGCTTACAATTCCCCATTGGTCATCACCATCTGTTGTTTTTAAAACATTCCAAGTTTAATAAGTTTTTTTTGAAAAGGGCAAAAACAAAAACAAAACTTTAGCATGTTTTACAGCTTCCTCCAGTCTTTAATTAGTAACTTCATGATCTATCTTATCCTCAAGCTAAAGACTTTGAGAGAGCCTTAAAGTTTTCCTTGCTAGTCACAAGTTCATCAGGAACTCTGGAGATAGGGCCCAAGCCCTCGAGAGGATTTTCATGCACACTAAAATGTGTGAATCCTTTGCCTTCGGGGTAAAGTCTGAAGTCCTTAACTTTACATGTAAAGTTCTTTACATTTGGCCTTAGTCTTTTATTTTTTAACGGTACTTCTTTCTACTCCTGTATGCTTTCTGATGTACTGAATTTCTTACTACTTCTGGAATTTGCCAGGGATAATGCAGTATTGTCTGAACAAGTATTGTATCATCTAGGTAAAAATACAAGCCCAGCATAGGGCTGTAATGTAATACAATAACACAAAGTTCAAACTTTGGAGCCTGATAAACATACATTCTAATTTGCCTACTTATTATCTGCCTGTGAGAACTAGTACACAATTTAAAATCTTGTTCTTCAGATATCTCATCTGTAAAATGGGGATATCAGCATCCACATCACAGCGATGCTAAGAGGATCAAATAAGATAATGATTATAAACTTACGATAATGATTATAAACTTACTAGCACAGTGTCTATCTCCCTTCTTCTACTTTTCTTGTTCTTCAAGGATTCTGTTAACAATCTTATAAAGAAGCTATGATAGCACAGATGCTAATGACTTATTTAGTCATGGGCTTACCCTCTGCATTAGTATTTTTTGAAAAATCATCGACTTGCTTTCAGTCTCCAAGATTTTCTCAACTAGTCTCTTATAACACTCACACGTGAAGCAAAATGATTGGAAAATAAAGACATCAGCAAACTACAACGAGTGCATGGTTTTTCTTTAAATGCACACCAAATATCATTTTATGTAAGGAGCAAAGGTGTATGACATCCAGTCAATATACATTTTGCGCTTGCTGAAATTAGTGCTATAAGGAAATGCAGAGTTTCCTTTAAAAGTGTTCATGTTATAGGGATTTAAGAATTTCATCAACACGTATGGCCTGTTCCTCAAGAAATTTATTAGCAGCATATAGACTTAAATTTGTACTGATGCTACCAAGATTTTCCCTATTCATTTTATGAATGATCATCACTTAAAATTCTAGGATAACTAGAAAGAAGTTGGGTTTATCAATCAAATTAAAATTTCAAACCAAAAAACAACTTCAAAAAACTTAAAGTCTTACAGAAAGTATTAACACTGTGCTATTTCAGACTGTAGGTACTGTTATACTAAGATATAAAGTTTTTTAAATCCTATAAACATCAATGAAAATACTTTTGTGATTACTTTGAGAGTGTTCATTGCTTCCAAATTGAGGCCAGTGTAGAAGAAATATTATGGAAACACATTTTCCGATGAACCTGGGCTTGGACCATTGAAATTTACTGAGGGAGTACTGGTCTCTGAGTCACATCCCTTTTATGTGCTCCAGTAGAGACTTCATACAGTCTCTGGATCTGTAGCCTAATAAATTCAACGAAGCAGCCAATTTGTTTAGCCTTTCAACCATGTATTCACATAATCATTCTTATTCCCGTAAACAAATAATTATTAAATACCTGTGTGCCAGGTCCAGTTCCAGGCACTGGAGGGAGACAGAGCTGTGAACAAAACAATGCCCCTTGCTGAACAAACATATCAAGATGTAGCAGATCAGACAGGTGAAAAGTGCTATGGAGAAGGTATATGGAAAAGAGGAATACCAAGAGTGAGGGGGAAGAACTTACTGGCACATAAATATGCTGTGAATGAATGATTGATCAGAGAAAGCCTACCTATAAAGGTGATGTTTCTTCTGTGACATAAAGAAAATTGAAGGGGGGCATGCAAATATATGGAAGAAAAGTATTTTAGGCAGAGTAATGAAGTCACATGCCCCGAGGTGAGGATATGCAAAACATTTGGGAAAAACCAAGGGGCCAATATAGATGGAGAATAATGAGAAATGAGAAGAGTATTAAAAGTTAAGGTCAGAGGCTAGGTGAAGTGGCTCACACCTATAATTCCAGTACTTTGGGAGGCCGAGGTGGGCGATCACTTGAGGCCAGGAGTTCAAGACCAGCCTGGCCAACATAGCGAAACTCCATTTTTACTGAAAATGAAAAAAAAATTAGTTGATCATGGTGGTACATGCCTATAATCCCTGCTACTTGGAAGGCTGAGGCACGAGAATCACTTAAATCCAGGAGGCAGAGGTTGCAGTGAGCCAAGATTGTGCCACTGCACTCCAGCCTGGATGACAGAGGAAGACTCTGTCTCCAACAAACAAACAAACAAACAAAACAAATGACATTATTTTAAAAAAGTATAGATCAAAGATGTAGTAGAGGCCAGATTATAAGACATTTCAAGAACATTATAAGGATGTGATTTTAAAATCTCACAATGTGCAATCTTAAGAGTGGAAGGGCGAATAGCAATGGCAGAAGCTGGGAGATTTCTTGGAGTTTCTGCATAAATCCAGGTGAGAGGTGATGGGAGCTTAGACTAGTATGGTAGAGTTTTGTATAGTGAGGGTGGGACATTCTGAGTATATTTTGAAGTTAGAGCTGAAGCAATTTGTTGATGGATTGAACGTGGGGTGCTCAAAAACTAGAAATGCATAGTTTCCACATGAAGACTGAGAAGTATGGGCTTGTCAGAATGAAGAATCATGAACATGTTTACTTACAAGTTGGTAATTGGTCTATAAGAGCTGAACTAGAATCAATACCAATTCAGAGCAATGTTTCACCTCCAGAGATCTCTGTTACCTGAAAAGTAATAGAAAAAATTAAAGAAAGTATGAGAAACAATTAAATCCGAGTAGCATGTTTTTACTGAAGACAAATGTTAAAATGATTTTGTTGTTCATTGTCTCACATTTGTTGATTCATTTCAGCTTCATAACTATCACTTTGCTAATGTATTTCATTGATTGCATCTAGTTCCTCTTATTCACCTTTTCTCCTCCCTCTTAGGCCAGGTTGTTCCTTAGTTCCATGTCTTTTACTTTGTATTTCAAGACTTCAGACTCCTTCTATCTTGCCCTGTTCTTTACTATCCTTGGTTCTACATGACTTGGCAATCTATATAATTATGAATATGGCATGACTCTTTGGGTCTATGTGGTTTTATATTGTGCTGCTTTTAGATTATCAAATTAGTAAATTACATAATCAGGATTAGAGAAAAATAACCTTTTTCACAAGGTCAAGAGATCAAGACCATCCTGGCCAACATGGTGAAACTCCGTCTCTACTAAAAATACAAAAATTAGCTGGGCCTGGTGGTGAGCACCTGTAGTCCCAGCTACTCAAGAGGCTGAGGCAGGAGAATCGCTTGAACCCAGGAGGCGGAGGTTGCAGTGAGCTGAGATCGTGCCACTGCACTCCAGCCTGGCAAACAAGTGAGACTCCGTCTCAAAAAATAATGATGATAATAACAATAATGTACTTTTCTGTTAACTTGGTAGGAGGAGCCAAATCACCTTCCTTTCAAAATGTTTTGTATTCACCCACTTCCTATAAAATGACTAATCATTAATTCTAACTTTAGTAACACAATAACCAACTCCTTTGTGACTTATTTTTTCTTTCTTTGGAAAGATAATGTTAACAAATATTGTTTTAGTTATTTTAGACATTAAGAAATGGTGAAGAAAGCTTGTTTTCATAATCAATGTTTACATTAATTATATTGATCATGCTGTTATAGTTTTTAATGAATAGTCTGTTTTGAAATGGTCAATGGTTTCTTTTTTCTTTTCTTTTTCTTTTTTTTTTTTTTGAGAGCATTGGTTTAACATGATGAAACTCAGCATAGACTTTATGTAATGCACCATGAGAGCACATTAGTGAAACCACCCAAAAGAAATAGCATTTACTCACTGGGACCCATTAAAATGTATGAGAGATTCCCTGTTATGTTTACATTTAATTAATAGTCCTTTTAAAGAGAAGGTGTGATAGCATTGCTAACCAGCTTGGTTGGAAATCTCTTGGGATATACCTTTGCACGAAAACCAGACAGGCACTCCATCACTCTTGCCTCAAAATAAGAGAAAGAAACTCTCTGAGGTGTGATAAACCCTGAGGGCAATATTTATGAAACTTCATTTCAGATTGAAAGTTTACTAACTTTTCTAATTAGGATTTTTAATGTTTTTATTTCCTCAATCATAAGAACAATGTTTCCCTTCAACTTTAAGATGGACAAAAGTAAATCCCAGAGAGTAAAATCTTCTTAACCAAAGGGATAACTTTCTTATCCAATAAGTTGTACCTGAGAAAGATAGATTCTTTCTTGTATGTGCTCATTGTTTTTAAGTTTAAGACAAACTCTAGAGCACTAAGTTAATGTTAAAAAATTCATCTCATGTTTTCACTCTCTCTCGTATTTTTATTTGCCCAGAAAAAGATTAACTTAGAGTTAATTTTTGACCCTACCCTTTTACTCTGTTTTTATATCATTTAATTGAATGTTCTCTCTTAACTAAATGCATTTAGATAATTATTTAAGTACAGGATGATAAATAATTTCAGATCTGAGATCATGTTCACTGTAATTAGCATTGTATAAATGAAGCTATGTGTAGATTTTCCATCACCTTTTTTTTTTCTTTTTCATCCAATCTTTATGTAAAGTATAGAATTCACAGAGATGAGACCTTTCAAATTATGGCTAACTGCTTAGAAGATTATATAACTCTCTTTGGGGAATCAAGTCTTTTAAAAATCGACTATAAATGACCTATTAAGCCAAGTAGAGGACAACCATGAGTACCGTAAGCACAGACAGCAAGCATTAGAGACTCAGTTTGAGCCTTCTGGGAACTTAGAAACTTCCAGAGAGAAAGAACAGGAACACATAAAATATGCATGATAACAAAAACACCAGAGACATTGTAGGGGGAGAGGGAAACACCTTGTTTGCTGTATTTCTATAGAGCTGGAAATTAAAGTGCTAGAAAATAACCTCATATCAACTGGATCAATGCACTAATTAGACTTCAGAAACATGAAAAGATCCATTACAAAACATTATCTACCAGGTGCATCTTGTCAAAAGGATTCTAGTTTTGTTGTTTTAGAACATACATCTTATGATTATCTGAAGTTGTTCCTTGAAAGGCTCAATACTTGTTAATGAACTATATTGTTTTGCAGAAAAGGAAATCAATTTTTTAGAAATATCTAAATTTCAAACTTCTGAAACAGGTATCGAAAAAGTGCTGCCCATTATTACTTTCCCACCTCCTGCCTTAATCTAAAATGAGGTTTTTCGTCTAAAATTTTATGAGGAGGAATTCATTGTAGTTAGTTTTTAAAGAGTCGCTCTTTTCTTCAGAGTAATTCTAGTTGCTTTAATAAACTTTAAATTGATTTAAATTTAATTTTTCAATTTTTCAATCATTCTCTTTCTGGGCCTCCTACGTTCATAGCTCTGTTTATCACTGCTTGTAAAACTTTTTACTCTTTAGTTCTTCTTGTTCATCTCTCATTTCATCTACTTCAAAGTTTTCTCCTCTACCTGTCCTAGTGATGTATAGGTAAATATTTTTATAAACTGGTTCTCCAAAGAAAATAAAATATGCATACTTAAATCATTTGTTATAAATTTTACTGATATTAAGGATATATGACACACAATTTACAAATAATAAAATATTACAACTTTTTATTGAACATTCTGTATATCAAATTGTTTATTAAAAAATGCTTTTTTTGAATTTTGCCAAACTTTTGCATGTATAGGCAACCTATTTTTGCAGCTAATAAACAAGTATAGTTTTAGTATGAAGATTGCCTGGTATTTATGTTAGTCAGTGAAGTAAAAATGAAATGAAGAAGCTATATGTCAGATACTCATTTATCAGTGATGTAAGCAATTATTTGCAAATCAGAAAACAGAATTTCAATAATGAAAGGATTTTTTTAAAAATTTTTGTGCTATTCAGTGTAATGGCTACAAACACAATACACCTTGACTGTTTATCTGGTTTATTAGCATTTTCTCCATCATCTTCTTAATTCTACTCTAGAAAATCAAGAAGTTCTCATTTGTAGTGCTTGGAGATTTTTATAGTGTAAAGATTCCCACCATCACCAATTTCAAACTACTGATGTGAAGTTGCTAAATGCAGAGTTAAGAAGAGATTCACAGTAGTTAAACAATGTGACATACTCCCACCATCCAGATACAATAGGCCAGATAGAATAGACCAGCATCCAGAAAGAAAAGTTGCACAGTAATCCAGTAGTAAAGCATATTACTACTGTCAAGAGAGAATAATCCAGAGAGAATAGACCACCGTCCAGAAAGAAGAGATGCGTGATAGCCCCACAGTATGCCATACTTCTGCTGTTCAGACAGAATAGACATATATTGCCCAAAGAGCATAAATAATAGTAAAATACAGGAAAATAACTAGGAAGTGATATGTTTTAGTATTTATTACCTTTCTTTAAAGTAAGTTATAGAATTCTAAGTTTATATAGTCAAATATTTAATAATGGCTGCTTTTAATAACAGACTAACAGGAATTTCTGACAGTTTAACAATGAGAATTGGTATGGGCTGCTTTCAGCACACCACTGAATTCTCTCCCTTAATTTTGTTGTTTCGGAATGTTTTGGAATTGGCCCTTTTTCCTCCTCACCCTAAATACTCTTTTTGTATGACCTCAAAAACTGTTCTGACTTCAACAGATACATGTATGCTAATTATTACTAAGTATTCCTTTCTAGACAGGCTTTTCCCCTGTTTCAGGTTCCCACCCCCATTTTTAAAATCTATAGGATATCTGTATTTAAACATTTCACAGGCCTCTCAAAATCATTACCTGCCAAGTCAGCTCCTGCTCCTGTGGTTTTCAATTCACTGCTGACATCCACGTGGTAGTCCTGGGCTCCTTCCTTTCTCTTACATCCAATATCCAATCAATCACCAAATCCTGCTGGTTTTATATGCCAGATATGTCCCGAATCTGTTACAGCTCTAGTTCCTAACTAGCGTTGCCCTGATCTTCCCCTCCTGACAGGGATACCGGACCAGAATCCGAAAGTTTTTCTGGGTATGGAACTTTCTTTACCCCTACTCCTCTCTATTCACCTCATCCAACTTATCCTCCATGTACCATGGAGGCATCTATTTACATTGCAATCTGTATATCTTGTTCCCTGCTTATAACCCTTGACTTACTCCTCAACCTGTATAGGATATAAACCAAACTCCTTAAGGTAAAGGCCAATGCTTTCCATAGTCTGACCAATTTCTCTAAACTCATCTCTCACCCTTGCCTCTTGTGTACGTTCTGCTTGCATCACCGTTCTAAACTGGTTTAAATTTCTATGCATAACAATTTTTGCTGCCCTGTTGGCCTGGCATTCCACCCAAACTCTTTTTTACTGATATTTTGGTTCAACCCAGGCTCCATCTCTTCTAGGAAGCCTCTACTGATCTCTCTTTCTCAAGAAATAAGCCAGGTTAGATTGACTTCTTTCATGCTATCAAAATGAACCCTATCTGTCACTTTAATTGCCGTATCTAGTTATATTCATTTATTTCTGTGTTTATCTACCTAACCAAAACTTAACATAAATTCCCTGAGGAAAGGAAATCATGTACAGAAGTGAATACATAGAAGATATGTAACAAGGGTTTGATGGACAAATGAATGAGTTAATGAATGAATAAACCTAACCATTTTTAAGTACAATTTTCAAATTTTTGTAGCGGTATATTTTGTACATGAAATTTTAAAGCCAGATTT